ATTTATAAAAACGAACTAATATTATTTAATATGCATTTATTTATAGTTAAAGTCTTGAGGAATTTTTAAACTGTTTGAAAATTGTGAAAGCTATTTGCAGTGGGGTTCATCAAGGGTAGTTTCTAGCTATATTTGAAGGCTAGCTGCCTCCTGATGGGCAACATGGCAGTAGAAACAGCATCTTCAACGATACAATATCATTTAATGGACCTAATTGGCTAAAATAATTCTTAAATATAAGACTTTAGGTAATATTTGGTAACACTGTTTTTATATTTTTTTTTGTTGCGATTTTTGTACTTCTTATAAATTAAGTGGTCGAGTTTTATTAAAAATGGCTCTTTTAATAAAAGTTGGTTATTAAAAAATTCTTGGTAAGTTAATAGGGGTTGTAAATTTAGATTAAAAATCCATTTGAGTCTTCTGAGCACGTATGTGCGAACTGATTAAATTATGCAAAAAATATCGTGGTGTATTATGCTCTTTTTATGTTTATTTGCCGGGTCGATGTGAAACAAGATACTAAAAAAACTAATAATGGAAGACACATCAGATATTATAATTATTTTCCCGGAACGTAGTGTTTATAATTATAGTCGTAATACACACTTTACAACCCCAAACAGTTTAAATTTTAACGAAACACAATTCTGTACAGTCTTGCCCAAAAATAAAGCAGCTAAATCCAAGTTTTGCGTTAGTCATAACAAATTAAGGACTTATTTTGGAAAGTATTACAGTGATAAGTAATAATGAGATATTAGAGTGAATATATTATACAATATTCATTTGTTTGTATAAGCATATTTGACCAATTGTTTATTTATTATTGAAAAAGCAATTAAAAAGACTTATCCTTATTTACAACATTCTGTTTCTATTAATATTTAAAAGTATTGTTATTATTTACGTTAGAATTTTGTTGTTTTAATTTTGTTTGACGATGATGATGATGGTGATCATTTTTTGTGAGATGTACTGTACATTTTATAAACAATTTATAAATCTACATTTCCTTTTAAAAAGGCTGCATGCTTGACACAAAACTATATATGAAAAACGAGTCGCTTACATATCTTTTTTTGTCATGAAGTTGTTTAAAAGAAAGTTGTTTAATAAAGGAAACCCTAGCAGAGAGAAAAACATATTTGAAATTTTCAATATTGTCCTTACTCTTTGTTTAATTGGCGGTATGAGTACTGTGTGGTACAACCGTACTAAGAAGAGGCTGGAATTTTCGAAAATCTTAACCATTTTTGCAATAGCTCTGCTAATTTTTACTTGCTACCACACGTCGCTTATTCCTAAAGTCGTTTTGCACATTGAAAGGGTAAGGAATAGAACTAGAACAATTATAGGGTATAAAATTGATACCTAATCTGTTGGGTTATTTTTAGGGAACATGGAAAAAAAATATCACCCTTTTGCAAATGTATGAAATGGTCACAAGTCAGCAATATATAATGAAACTTATCAACCCCTTAATAATAACGGTGGTAGCAATACTGTCGCGGTTTGTTCTAATTTTTTCAGTCAAATTTCGACTCCCGAAAATCGTTGAAACCCTCAACGAAGTTGATGATATTTTAAAAGACAGCAAGATAATTTTACAAAAAAATTTAAAAATGTTATGGTTGATGTTATCCTTTTTTGTCCTGTTGTCTATCCCGTTTCAAGTTTACTCTATTTTTAAAGCAGGGGTGGAATCGTTCGAGGTGACCGGCACATTTATTATTCTGTTGTACAATAATATAAGTACATCCTGCGTGGAATTTCAATTCATTTGTATTTGTTATTTTATTTATTCGCGATTTAAATTTATCAACAAAAGTCTATCCCAAATGGCAGTTATGGTAAATCAAGGTTCTTATAGTGATGGTAAGTAAGTACTTAAAAATATTACAAAAAAAAGGTTCCAACAAAAATTTGTTGTCCTTTTTTAACTAAACATGAAATATATTTCAGATATATCCAAACATATTCTATTTCGTAAACAAGAAACTAAAAATATATCTGCAATTTCTTCAAAAACTAATAGTTATGCACTAACACAAACTAAAATTGCCCCAGAAGATGTAATGACTTTGAAAATAGCCCACA